CATGCGAAGCATCCTCGTCCACGAAGCGTTCACGAAGCATTCGCGAGTGTCGCGCGTGAGCCGTATAGTCCGGGGTGCATCAATTTCGCAGCGGTCGTGGCTTTTGGAGGTTGGGGTCCCAAAAGTGCGGAGAGCAATGAGGGACATGTAGGGTGCGCCATCCTGCAACCGTCATCACATTTGGAGCTTTGTTTGGTGTTGATGCTACGAGGATGAGACGCGCGGGGTGCGTCATCCTCGTAACGGTCCTCACTTGTGGATGTAGATTTTGAAAAAGCGACAGTCACGTGGAAGCCTCACGAGGATGTACCATGTGCGGTGCGCCATCCTCGTATCTGTCGTTACTTTCAAGCTGCGGGCGTGCCATCTCGCAATTCTAGTCACTTTTGGATTTCGGGTAAAAGGCCGAGGAAGGGGGCGGGTCGGATCAAATAGACTTGTGATGTCCGAGAGAAAAGGTGACAGGGGGAAGATAAACAGAAGCAGAAATAAAGAGAGGAAGCCAGAGAGAGAGAGAGAGACGGAGAGAGAGAGAGAGAGAGAGAACAACAAAAAAGGAGATACAGAGAAAGAGAAAGAGAGATAGATAGAACAAAGTAGTGTCGCACATCAGGTCGGTTACAGGCATCATCTTTCTTTCGCATGATTTGGTAGCTTTGACTTTGCCAGGGCTTCCGGCGCCTTTAGTGTGTGGCCTGCCTTGCTTTGCAAAAGTGGGGGATTCGGGGCCTGCGAATAAGCAGAAAATTTGGAGCTCGTGATTTGCTGTATACGCAGCGCCTGCCGATCATCAGAAGTACTGTAATTTACCATATTTGGAGCCTGCGACCAGGGAGTTGGTTTTTGGTTGATCCCGGCTTGCTTGTTTATTGATCTCCATTGTTCACCCCTACCTTTGATCCCTGTCCCAAGCGGTGGCTGCGCAGCAGCTGGCTCTGAGGCTCGGTACCAAAGTTTGTGTGGACATGCTGCTGGACCCAATAACTGGCCAAAACGAGAAAACGCAACAGGTCCAATGTGACAACGGTGCAGCAGCACGGCTCGCAGATGCGGGACAATATATACATATATATATATATATGCAGCATGCACCCCAACACACGCAACCCAATCCCAAAAGCAGTTTTCTTGGTCAGAAGGTCGGTGCCTGTGCCGAACCAGGTGCCAGTAGCACCTCGATGGCGGAGGGCCAGTAGGCGAGCCCAGTCATCCTCGGGACAAGGTGGCGTAAAAGCACCTACAAGGTGCATGGCACAGGCCTGCACAGGCCACTCAAACTCAAGCACATCTGCTCCAAGCTTGCTACAGGAAGCGGCCGAAACACGGAATTCTCTCTAATCTCCCTGCCCCTCCAAAGCCCAAGAGGCAGCCCGGCGCCAAACACGCCGCAGGCCAGCCCACCAACCCTCGGGTTCCGTACGTGGAGGTCTTGCTTCATGCAGTGAAGGCATTAACAAAACCCTTAATGCCAAAGTCAACAGGGACCCGGCGCAAGGACTAAATTGACTTAATGTGTCGAAGGCTGACGTTGAGGCTTCAGGTGTTTATGGAAGCTCGGATAAATGGAATGCGACGACAGGTGCAGCCCCATACCAGCCAGCCTATGACTGCTGGCAATCAATGAAAGAATTGGCCACGCCGGTAAGCTCGTGGGACGAGCACCAGCACCAGGCGTTCTTATGCTGTAAACAAGGAATGCGTTCACAAACGACTGTCTCCATGCAGCGAGGAAAAAGCTGGTTAATGAAGCGTTTTGTGCGGTCCTGTGACAAGCTGTCAGTGGTATCGATTTTGTAAACTCCTGCGCCGTTTGAGTCGCGGAAAAAGCGTATAGCCACGCGCAGAAAACTTCAACGAACTAGGCAATCCTGAAAATCGTAAGCAAAGTCGCACGTCGGACGCCCGTGATCCAACGTGAGCACATTCTGCAAAATTGAAATCTTTCGCTCGACTTGTAGTCCGCTGCGAGCTTCTTTGCGAGAACGGTGTTTGTTGTAAACCAAGAAACAGTAAGGACAAGTCAACAACGCATGTCGTGCTTTCTGCGCGGGTATAGGCGCAGAAAAGGTAGGAGCTATTCCGCGCAACGCTAGGTTTCAGGAAACGGTCCTGTGCTAGAAATAATTGAATCCGAAAAGTTAAAGACAGCCATGAGTGCCAATGAGTGCTGCAGAAAAAAGGGGCCACAGCCACTGCCACGGGGAGCCCGTGCGGACCTTCCGATCAGCCGCGAATGGAGAGGTTTCACAAGCCCATGCTCTCCAGTTTGCAAGTCTGCGTCAAAAGAATGGACTCAGGATCCCAGGGCCATGAAGCGGGTTACAGTTCATGACCCAGATCCAGGGAGCTTTTGCCGGATAGGGGTGGGAGGGGTTGCTGGAGAGAACACTGGATCAGGAAAGTGGCGGGGGAGTACCGCCGGTCTCAAAGAATTTGTGGCTGAATTCAGTTCTGACTGCTGCGGGTTGCCCGAAAGTTTCAAGAGCTCAGGATGAGCGCGATCCAGGAGCCCAAGGAACCATGAAAGCAGCTGGGGGAGCCCTTTAAACCCTGTGAACCATTAGGGGAATACAAAGGCCGCTGAAGAAACGCACCTGGGGCATACCAAGGCCCCTCAACCCTCAACTTCCTAAACCGAAAGCCCAGATAAGCCCATATCTCAATCGGAGCCACACCCCAAGGAGGAAGATGGACCGCACCGCTGAGAAGTCTCCGACGCCCATGGCGTGGGTGATCTTCACCATGGTGGTGTCCTCCAGAAACCTGGGGGAGCCGAACAAACATCCGCAGGAACACAACTCTGAGGCTCACAACTCTGAGACTCGCAACTGAATTCCAAAAGCACCTTTGGCCTGCACACACAGAAGACGCTCTAACTCATCCGGCCTAATGCGGTCAATACTTGGCATACGTGGCATGTTCTGGGCATCTTGGTTCGGCCTGCGGGGTTCTAGAGCAGCAAGGATGGCCCAGAAGCCCCCACTTCTGAGCTGGCAATCCTAACTTTGGGTACCAAGCACCCTTAAAGCAAGCCACGCTATCAAAGGAAGAAGCCCGGAAGCAGCAGAAAACCACGAGACCTCTCAAGGCCCAATACCTATTGGAGGCAGCGAGGCTGCTTCAGCCTGCTGCGTTGTTTGCCCCAAGCCGCCACCAAACTGTCACGGCCCAGGCGCTGGAAGATGTCTTTCATCGGTGTCAGGAAAGCTGCGGCCGCCAGCATGGAGTTCCTTGAGCGAAGTCGGCAAGTTCCCTGCTCTCTGGCTTGAATCCCATAAACTCGTGAACCTGTCCTGCCTACAATGTCCTACAAGCACCCACAAACTAAACCGAAACACCCACGTCAAGCAGTAGGCCATCAAAATCCTTCAAGAGGTTGCTTTGAAGTGCGGCGTTTGACCTTTGACCACAGCAAGACTCCGCTCCGGCACGGGCAAGGCCAGCTGCGTGCTCTGGGCCATGGCGATGCCCACAAAGGTGGTGGCAATCCTTGGGCAGCCGCCAGTTGCCGTTTCAGAGTCCCAGTTGAGGGGGAGGGCATCTGCAAAGGCTGTAGTGATACGGTCTGGCGGCAGCAGACGTTACATGCTGCTTTACTTTACACCCATCACCGGCATCTCACGGTTTCAGCTTGGGATTGGCGATGGACTCGGATGGACGGCAAGGTCCTCCAAAACCCTGAAAGGCTGAAAGGCTGCACATTGTACACACCCAGCGGCACGCCCGAGTAGACACCCAGCAGGTTCAGATGCTCTGGGACTCCGCTCCTGGCTCACAACTTGCCATGATACTCCCAGGACTCCAAACCCTCAAATGTCCCAAAAGTCCAAAAGGGATGTCCGAAACCGTTGAACATTCAGCATCGCGGCAAGGCGCTGCGAAGAACAATAACAAGGTCCTCTCCTACTTCAATCTCTCTTCAATCTGGAGCGGCTCCTACATTTGTGCACTAACCCCACATCGAGGCACGGTGGCTTTGGCACCGGGACGGCTGTCGTACCATCATCTGGGCTTGCGGTCCGCACCCATCGCTGCAGCCAGATCTGGGAGTGAAGTTTCGACTTTCCATGGGGATCTAAACAGTCCGCTGAACTTGAACCGTTACGACACCCACACGGTTTCCAAAGTCAGGCGTGAAGCCGTGAAGAGGATGTACACGGCCATGGAGCCATAGTTCACGTAATTGGTGGATGAGCTCTCGATGTCGTGCACCTAAGTAACCACCGAGCATGGAAGCGACGGGAAGGAAAAGGACGACGACGCAGCGCTCGCATCCAGCAGGTAAAAGAACAAGCCAGCTTGGTCAATCCAAATTCTATGACGTCTGGCATCGCTCTTGACTCAATGACTCAATCACCCAATGACGCCATCCCGGCCAGCTCGACCCAGGCACCCACTTGTCAGCGAGGCAGCAGGACTCCTGGGCGCAACTCAGCTGCGGGTAGAAGCCTCAGCCGGTCGCAAGAAAACAACACCGAGCCCCCCTTTCTCGACGTTACCTGCTGCGCAACTGCTGCACCTCTTCCCAAAAAGAAAACGAGTGCCCAGACACAACCCAGAAGCAGAGCCCCGAGGCGCTGTCCACCGAAGGGGACGCAACCTCCGGTCTCGTTGAGTTTGGGTCTCGCACTTAAGGCCCGTCCCCAACTGCCCCTCCCTCCCCATGCGCCAAACTGGGCATGAAAGACCGCAAACATCCGCAAACCCAGTATGTCGTGTTTGAAGCGTGCCTGGGAACACTGGGTACACATTTTGGCCATGGCACGGGGTGGGACCCATTCGCCAGGGTCTCGTAGTACACGAAGAGAGCTCCCCGGCCGTCTTCGCCGGCGAACGACCGGCATGCCATGACCGGAACGGCGCAAAAGAGTTCAAAAGGCTTGAGCCCAAACCATCCGAGACATCCAAGTCTTAAGGATTGGTGGACGGATCACACATGGATAGAGGCTTGAGAAGAGGCCGGTTGATGTCTGCCTCCTTGTGTTGACATGCCGAGCGGCGTGGAAGCGCGGGACGTTGAATGCCACAATGGTGTTGAACTCTGGGAGAATCTCCAAAAGCGAATTCGAAGACTCTCTCGGACACAGACAAAGTGCGATTCTCGAGACTTCGGGGCAGGTTCCCTCGAGGCGCCTCCTCTCCGGTCTCCAGGTCTTGGAAAGCTCCACCCCACTCCTACGAGTGACAGCAAGCAGCCAAAGGAGATAATTCCTAGACGTGCAAGGCCCGTGGGGCTGAGGGGGGCTTTTGACGGGTCTGGGTTGAGTGCAACGGCACGCTTAGGAACTTCTGCCACTTCCCTCAAGATGCCAAGGCTCCCTTGATGTACAGCAGCTGTCTTTGTCTTTTGTCTGTGTCAAAACACAAGGCACAATGGCTGACCGTGCAGACCGTTATGCCGGTTGTGTTCCCTGGTCTTTTTCACTTAGATTCAAATGTCTGAATCAGAAGCACCAGAAACAACCGCGTGTCCTTTTGCCAGTCGGGTGTCAGGTACCAAATGACCGCCACCTCAGTGCTTTCGGACTTCGGAGTTTCAGGATTACGTTTTCGCAGGCATTGGTGGCATTGGCATGATCTGCTGTGTCCGGAAGAGCGCAGGGAAGTCTTGAAATCTGAGAGCGCAGCCGTTCGCGAGCAAAGCACCGTGGATCCATCATCCATGCCTTACTAGACAACAGTCAGTCATAAGCGCCTGAGAAAGCAACGTTGGCACTACCGACCCTTTCCTTGCTTGGCTGATTCATGTCTGGGCTTGCAGTCGTGCTGATGGCCTGAGGTGAAGGCACTTCACCGAGTTCGTATCGGATCCGGTTCTCAATGCAATGTGGCCGGATGCAGGCCATCACAACTCTGACGCCCCGACGAAGCCCATGTAAGGTATGCCCATGATACATTAAACTGCCAAACCTTGCCGAGATCCGCAAACCCGGACCACAAAGGTTCCGGTGCGTACCCCACAACATGAGGCCTTACCTGGCTGTGGCTAGCTGCGCACGTCGGTGTACTGACGATCGTCGTGTCGCTCGATGTGGTCCCCTTGGAGATAGCGCCCTGTGCGAAATGTCTATGGGTCTCGGTCTCGCTGGTCTTCCGGATTGGAGAGCGTCAGTGTTCTGAAAGCCCTTCCAGCTCAACCAAACCCCCTGCAGGCAAAAGTAGTTCGGCAAACCCAACATCTTCCCCCACCGGGCCTGCGGAGAAGGAGTTCAGCTCGCCTGCTAGGGCTTGGCCCTCTCGCTTAATGACTTAATCACTTTGGGCTTGCCAGCTGCCTAGCTTTCTCACATCTTTCACCTTCTATCGTTGCTTTAGCTGCGACCATCCCCAAATGACCACTCCGAATCTCATGGGGCGCAGGCTCATCCTACAGCTGTGACACACTGTGGCCCCATGGTGCCCCGATAGCGCTAAAGGCTGGCACCAAGTTCGGTGTCGGCCACGAATGCAGATGTTGGTTGTCAGGAAGCAGGAAATAACGACAACAACAGCACTGGCCCCTTTCAGAGCGCCTGCGGTGACATACATAAACTGGCCCTGAAGCACCCGAAGCCTTCTCCCAATTCTGAGACTCAATCGCTCTTCTGTTTGAGACCGACCCTCTCGAAGTCACTAAAGTCAGTTGATGTCCGCATTCGGGCACCTGGTAGTAGCTCCCCGAGCACTCGGAAGAGGCGGTCGAGTGTCCTGGTCTGGTCTCGCGATTTGCAGTCTCTCCCGGCGGCTTAAGCTTTAGGACTTGCTCTGGCTGCGTCTAGTTGCGCGACAAGTTCGGACACAGGGATAAACTCGACGTCGTGTTCATTGACCGGTTCTGCAAGCTACCCAGTTTTGCACAGAAGACACCTGCGCAGAAGACATCGTTCAGGTTGCGAGACACCTCCGTAGCTCTGATCCTTCGCCAGAAGCTTGAACAGTTGAGGCATAGCCCATGGTGCCACACGGATGTGCGGGCATTCCAAAAATTACTATGAGCGACCGCGAGCAAAGTCGGGTCATGTGATGGCTAAGCGGGACTTCTGTCGGAGCGCCCGATTGGGTCCAATGGGCCCGTCCCTTTCTTGCATCGACCTCCGGCTCCTGAAACCATGAAGTCCCCCTCACCTACCGGAACAAGACTTCAGAAGCCTCGCCCCCTCCAAGGCTAAACTTTCCATGTAATCCTCATCCGAGGCCTCTTGGCCTCCAACAACCTCCAAGAATCTTCAAGAAGCCAAGCCGCTCCGAGCCGAAGCGGCGTGAGGAGAAGCGGTGGGCCACATTGTTCCTGGCTCGAAGGTGCGGCTTCGCTCGTAACAGTGTACGAGACATCGGCTTGGCCTCTAGGGCCCCCAGGGCAACCCTTTTATGCATTGACGGATTTCGGGCATGCTCCGGCTCGTGCGGAACATGACCAGAAATACTGGTGGGCGCACAGAAGCTACCGCGATGACTGCTGCCTCTACCGCCTGCCAACCAGGGTAACTGAAATAACCCGAACACCAGCGCGGCGTGGGACAAACCGGCCAAGTTTCGCGCCCTGCCACCCCACCTCTCAGACCTGCCACCCAGTTTCACGCCTGGCTGCGTCGCGGCCCGCTTGCGTCAGGTTCCAGGATGCATTTGGGAGCTCCTGCGCGTTGTGAATCAAAGCGACACACGGCTGACACCACTTACACAACTCTTTAAACCATCTTACTATCCAACTCCCTCATGCAGTTTGCTAGGGACAAGGCTGGCTTCGGGACGCAAGCTTCGGTCACGGCACGACACCTTAAGACCAATTCGACCCCTCTACGTCACAACACTGCGTGCGAAGACGGGCATCAGATGCGAAACGAGATCTTGTGCAGGTGCTGCGAACACATTCTTGGCACACGCATCAACCAAGCATTCTGAAATTCTTGATGCCACTACACAAATCTGCTGCATGTCAGCCACTAGAATACGCAAATGTGCACACCATTCAATCCAAGCCGGGGTTTGGGGCTGCAGTCAGTTTTGGAATGGTTGCTCTGGCCTATGCTGCACACTTCATGCGTTGCAGATCTCAGAGAGCAGAGATTTTTACCCGGGGGGGCGCCTCCAGCGTCCGCAGCGCGAGCCGGGCAACGCTGTCAGGCAGGGCACCCCGGAGCCGCACCACGCCGCCTCTCGGCTTCGAGTCTCTTTCCTCCTCCTCTTCTTCTTCTTCTTCTTCCTCTTCTTCCTCTCCTTCTTCTTCTTCCTCCTTCTGCTTCCTTCTTCTTGTTCTTGTTCTTGTTCGTGTTCGTGTTCTTGTTCTTGTTCCTGTTCCTGTTCCTGCTATTGTTATTGTTCTTGTTCTTGTTATTGTTCTTGTTCGTGTTCGTGTACTTTGCATTCTGACGCACGCTGATGCATTTTGCACTTTGTACCTCGGCCGTCTAGCTGGAGATCTGCTCAGCACCCCAACTCCAAAGCAGAGGAGCCTGTCAAGCTGTCAAGCCTCAAGGTCTCATAAGTTCACGAGTGACATCTCGAAACCAAAGCCACATGCACCCACAAGCCTCAAGCCTAAAGAGAGGAGCGTGTCCTTCTCCCATTCCTCTCCGGCCTGCGCTGAGCTTTTCACGAAGCCGCACCTGAGCCCCGACTTCCCGAGATGTTACCGCATGGCGATCGCACACGGTTGGGCGCCCTGGCGCCCCTTGGTGCACTCAGGCGAGTTTTGAATGGGTGCTTTTGAATGTGTCAGGTGTGGATGCGGGGTGGATGGGGCGAACCTAGAAGCCCCGTTTGATGGATCTTGATGGATCTTGAACAGGCCAGCTTAGGACATCAAGGAGTCCCATATGCTAAACGATGGAAAGGTTTGGGCTTTCGAGCCTCAAGGAAAGAGAAACCGAGAAACACCCCGATTCACTGCAGACTGGAGGCCCGATGGAGCCAGGTTGAGGCCAGCTTGTAGTTGAGAAGGAAGGCCTGCACAGGCACAGCACACATACAATCAGATACTGTATGCTCACCCGTTTTAAGTGATGAGCTGTGGCGGTTCCGAGGGAGCTTTGGGAGTGGCAGCATTCGGCTGGCACAGAACAGCCCTGACCGAAACCCAAACCTCACCATGCACCAAACAACTCAGTAGGCTCGCAGCCCAGAGCCTCCTAGACCTGTTTCGACAAACTGAGCTGCCTCTGCCTCGCGCAGCGTCGGCGCATCGAGGCCCTGACAGGGTTTTGCGGCATAGGAGACTGAGAAAGTCGCGAGGGGACAGTCCGCGTACAAGCCTGCGAAAAGCCCGAAACTGCCCACTACATCCCGAATCAAAAGGCGTGCAGTGTTTGGGGGCTGGGGATCTAAAGCGCAAGTACGACAGCTGCTTCGGAGTTGTTGTTGTTGTTGCCATCTGACATGCAAAGCCTGCAAAGGGTCTCAAGGGCACTGCAAACGGTCCCCTTGTTTTCAGGCAGAAGTCAATGCCTTCTACACTGAGGTACACCGAGGGATTCGAGATACTTCGAGGGTCTTTGCCTCGCAGTGAATGCTGCTGCGGCGCAACTTTTTTGCTCGACGCAGGAGGAAGAGGCCTCGTACTTTGGTTCTTCATCTGAGGTTTTGGGCGCCAGGCACTTGCACCAGCACGTGGTCTGCGCAAAACTGCTAGCCGTCTAACTTTCACAACACACAACACTTCAGAGGGGCCTTCGAACCCTAAACTTCGTCCCATCAAATCCGAGCAGCGGTGCCCAGGCCGGCCCACGACATTGACGGCCTCTGGACAACAGACCAGAGCAACAAAAAAAACACACAAACTCTAGCAAATTTTTTTGCCGCCTGCATAGCTGAACTTCATGGATGGGAAGGTATGGGGGAGGGCCATCATCAGAAACAAGGTCGAGTCGAAAATCCAAAAGTCAAGCCCACCGTGAAAAGCTTTGAGAACGAACTGCACATGTCCTGCATCTTCTCAACACGTGCACAAACCTTTCTCCCCAGAACCTCGTCAACGAGGGCATCGCCCTTCACAAGCCCAATCACGGCCAAGCACCCATGGGCACCTTGCGTTTCCTGGCCATTGGCCATGGCTCGGCCAGCCGCGTCTCCAACAGGCCGTGCTCCCAGAGTCCTGGGGCTCATTATAGGCGCCTTGGGGTCAGCGCTACTGCTACTGGGCTCTCTATTGTGAGGGCAAGTGAGTGTGGTAGAGTGGCAGCTGTTGGGAGGCTCTTGCGGTTCTGCTTCGGGCTGGGGTTCTCAAACCAGCACCCGACAGCCCGATTCGGCATGAAAACAAGCGAAGCCAAATGTGACCAAACTGAATTGACTGGAGCAACTTCGGCAGCAAGCTTCCAATGCTTAACTGGAGGCTTCATACTTGGTGGTCCTTCCGCGCCAGACGGGCCACTTCACTACAACGATTTGTCCACGAAGAAGCCGCCTGCGCACGCCCAGCCGAACCGACGAACAAACGTCTCAAGCAGCCCTTCCGAATTTGGCACCGCCCCGACCCTTACAGAACCGGCACAGCATGCCGCAGCTCTACAAATTTGGCGTTTTAAATTCCTGAAAGCCACCTGTCCTTGTAAGAGCTCCGGGTCAAGCTCCGGGCCAGGGACCCAGGAACCGGAAGGCGCGGTGTTCAGTGCCTTCCGGGGCTGGGTCCAGGGGCTCGGGACGGGTCGCGGTGCGCTCTTTTCTTGGGAAACAAATGTTGCACGGCAAGCCCAGGGCGAAGTAGCTCTGATCATCGCTGGCCTGCAGACTGGGAAGGCACTGCTGGCCCTCGAGCACGATGCAGGCCGGAGACGGCTCCTCAGATTTGCGCTTTGATATTTGGGAGTCCCCTTCTTCCACTTGTCGGGTCTCTTCGATGGGAAACCCCGACAAGGTTGCCCAGAGCAGGCAACGAGTTTCAATCTCTCGATACTTGAGCTTCAGCAAACAGACGAGGCTCCAATGGGACCCGACGGCATGCGTGCGCAGGGCGTTAGACGCAAGCGATGTCTCTCTTGCTTTCTTTCTTTTCTTTTCTTTTCTTTTCTTTTCTTTTCTTTTCTTTTCTTTTCTTTTCTTTTCTTTTCTTTTCTTTTCTTTTCTTTTCTTTTCTTTTCTTTTCTTTCTTTCTCTCTCTCGCTCTCGCTCTCGCTCTCTCTCTCTTTCTTGGGGCATGAGGGGGAGACCCCCCCTCGCAGTCTGCGCACACCCTTGTTGGGATGGTCCGTCGTGCTTGGATGCTCCTGAGAGGGGGTGTGACATCGACTTTGTGTTACCCCCATTAGCTCTCTCTCTTTTTCTCTCTGTTTTTCTCTGTGCTGGTACTTTCTGCACCATAAGGCTCCCAGTGCCAATGATGATGCAAGACTTCTCTGGAGCTACCCGACACCCGCAAAACCTGGAAGTTCCGAGCCCATACAGTGCTTCCCGAACCTGAGACCCAGTGTCAACCCCAGGCATCATGTGCTTGTCCGTGGAATTCTCCAAAGCGTGGTAGATTTGCACCTTCGAGCCATCGGTTTTGGAGAGAAAACGGAATGCTCGTAAGATGCCTTTTTGAAGCAACCACGCGTGGTACAAAACACCAGGGAATTCCCCCTTCAAGGGCCAGGAGACAGAGGAGCCAAAAAGCCAAGAAGCACAGGCCAAATCCCGAGCAGACAAGAACAACCAAAACACTGTAGAGTTTCCCCTTCGATGTACTCGCCAAAACCTTGGAAATAGAGTTTCGTAGTTTCGTCTGAAAAGACACCCCTCGACAACTAGCGTAAGATGATTCCCTTCTAGCCGAAAATAAGACAACGAAGTGTCAAGATTGATGGGGGGGAGGGGGTGCCGGGGGAGGCGTGAAGCCCCTGTTAAACAAGGAAAAACATAAACACAGAAAACACAGGGAGACATTTTCTGAACTCCAAAGTGAGAACCCCCACCCCATCAAAGCCCATCCCCGTCAATTCGCCTCTTTTTGATTTGTTTTGTTTGTGTGTGCTTCTGTGTGCTTCTGTGTGCTTCTGTGTGCTTCTGTGTGCTTCTGTGTGCTTCTGTGTGCTTCTGTGTGCTCCTGTGTACTCCTGTGTGCTCCTGTGTGCTGCTGTGTGCTTCTGTGTGCTTCTGTGTGCTCCTGTGTGCTCCTGTGTGCTCCTGTGTGCTCCTGTGTGCTTCTGTGTGCTTCTGTGTGCTTCTGTGTGCTCCTGTGTGCTCCTGTGTGCTCCTGTTTGCTGCTGTGTG